TCATTCCCTAAAATAAATCAAAAAAAGATCAATTCAAATCTGTTCATATAATTTTTGAATTAATAAATAAATAAATAAATAAAATTCAAAATCTTCTAACATCTTTACCTAAAATAAAATATATAAAAAAAAAGAAGATCAATTCAAATTGATAATTGCCTAAAATCAAATTTTCAATTTTAGAAAATAATAAGTATTCATGTGGCTTACATAATATCCGAATTAAACAAATAAATAAATAAAATCTCCTCAAACTAATTTTTGAGCGTGCTAATCTCTGAAAATAATTTTTCTAATTTTTTTGGTTTAACAAATTGGAAAAAAAATCTAATTGGTTAGCCTGTTGATAAATAAATTTTAAAATTCAAAATTATAAAAACTATCCTATAATTTTTGGATTTTAAAAGAAGAGAATCACTCAAATATAGAATAGGAAAACATAAAATTATGCCTTTCCCTTTTTTTAAGTAAATATTTTTAAAATTTGAAATTATATAAGACTAAAGTTATATTTGGAATTTCCTTTAAATGCTTTTAACTTTCAAATTAAAGGGGCTTTTTTTTTTAAGGTCACTGGTATTATGATTTTATAGCATAAAGGACACAAAATATTTTCATAATGTCTAAGATCCCTCAACAATATTTTCATAATGTCTAAGGTCCCTCAACCTTGATCCAGAGAAATTTCAGTCTAGAGAAAATTGGTCCAGAGAAATTCTCTGGACCAAATTTCTCTGGAAAGTCTATAGCAATTCTGCATTCCTCAGAATTTCTCTGGCCCAATTCTTCCTACAATTTCTCAGCATTTCTCTAATGCATTGGCTGAGTCCAGAGAAATTTTGAATTTCTCTGGTCCAATTCTCTTCAAATTTCTCTGATTTGCAAATTTTTTTAGTTTTCTCCCAGAATTTCTCTGGACTCCAAACCAGAGAAAAACAATGCACACACAAACACATTAAATAGAGAAAGAGAGAAAAGGGTTAAACAAATGTTGATACCTAGAGAACAAATAGAAGAGACCTAACTAACCTGGAGACATGAAAGCAAATAGCACTCAGGAAAAGAAATGGTCTTACTTTATTTATGGTTTGGTTGAGGAGATGATAGTGTAGAAAGTTTGGAGAAAAGCCAAGACAAGGAGACAAGTTGCAGAAGCAAAAATTCAGTTTAAAAACCAGAGAATTTATCTAAACTAGAGAATTTCTCTGGTTTCAACTCAGAGAAAATTCAGTTTAAAAACCAGAGAATTTCTCTGGTAGACCCAAATCTTCATTACATACTATTTTTGCTGAATCTTCCTCCAATCCAAGCTGCCTAGACAAATCCTCCAACAAACTTCTTCTCACGGATGGTTCGGGTTCTTTTTTAATGCTATCAACCTTTGATGGGGACGGGTCAGATTCAGTTCTAGATAGACTTACTCTCACTTTTTTTGACCAACCCTTTTTTTGGTTAGGCACTTGTTTTTCTAAACTACTTTGCTTAAGTTGTTCTGCCTTGTGCAGATCTCTCTACTTTTCTTCCCAATAGCTGTCGGGTACCAAACTCAGAGGAGTTCTTGGAGAAGTAGAACTTGATGATAGGCTATGACCTCTCTTCTAGTGTGCATGTGAATGTTAGTAAATTGATTTTTCGGAGGATGTCCAGGTTCGGAATATGGAGATGGAAGACCAAGCTCAGAGAAATGACAGTCACATCGTCAACATCTTGGGTATCTTCAGCATCAACGTTGAATCATCATCATCATCACCGGTTGTCTCAGATACCGAATCGATCCTCGAATTGTCTTCTTCACATGGGTTCATATCAGATTTAGCCGACAAGGACGAGGACGAAGATGTCGGAGTCTTTGATCGGAGGAGTTCAAGCGCGGAGGTACAAATGGATGTCGGAGTCTGAGAATCGAGAAGTTTAGAGAGAGAGAGAGAGAGAGATGAGTTTTGATTTGGTAAGGTCAAATTTCTCTGTGATATGTTTAGGGACCTTAGACATCAAAAAATAATTTTGTGGATCTCTTCCATTACGAAAAGTGGGAGAGGGACCCTAGACTAATTTTCCCCAAATTAAATGGCTAAATTTTATTTTTGACATTTTATTTTAAGATTTTTAATTTTCAAAATTATAAATATTGTTAGATGGACTAATATTTCTATGCCATGTGTATTTACTAAAATTCAGAAATAAAAAATTTAGATTAATGTTTTAGAGCTAATAGAGCATTTTAGATGAAAATTCCTTATAGTTTCCAATCCCATAACAATGCAATGTTGTAAGAATCCATTCAAATTAGTAATAGTATGGGAATATATACAAAGTAAAACAAAGTTAACAATAAAAAAAGATTAATTTGTAATTCAAACAGATTAAACATAAGAAAAATGTACATAGTGGGTGTTTGGGAAGTGAGTTTTTTTGTAGGTTTTTTTAGTTGTAGGATATTATTGGAGAAATTTTTTTTTGTATTTTGGAATATAGTTGGATTTTTTTGTGGTTGGATGTGATGTTTACGAGAGAAAAAGTGAAATGATTATGGGATTTGATGTGATATTTTGTTTGGATTTGTTTTTTTTTGGTTTTGCAAAACATTTGTCTTGTAGTGAAAAAAAACAAAAAAAAAAAAAAAAAAAAAAAAAAAAAAAAAACCCACAAACCAAGTTCCCAAACACCGCTAGATTTACTGCTTGCATGATTCACTGGTAGCCTTACAATCTCGAGAGCCTTGCAACCTCGAGTTTACTTTCTTTGGTGCATGGGTTTCGATGATAATAATAAGAATAAGAATAAGAATAAACAAAGAAATAATCAAAATGGATGTAGCAGAGGAAGAGAGAAAGAACGAGAGAATACTTACGACTTCGTGAATGAGTACTTAAAAAGATAAATGGATTAACCGACAAGAACACATATTAATCATTTTTGCACACAAACTCCCAAGCTATTTATTTGTAATGGGTGCTTCTCATTATAATTGTCAACTTTGTCGTGTTATGTGCTCACAATGACTCAAGAACCTATGAAAACTTGGAAAGGAGAATTGAAGAAGAGGAAAGGAAAGGTAAAATAATCATAAATGAGAGAGGGGAGGAAAGAATGGTCAATTGAAAGAGTTTAAAGGGATTGTGCCTTTATTTGGGATTTATTTATTTATTTTATTTTAATTTTTTTTTATTTTTGTAAATTTGAAAAGTCAAAACAAATAAGTATAGTGTGGAAGGAGTTTGCCATGCCACGTAAGAAATAGAGTGAATTTATAATTATAAAAATTTAAAAAAATTAGTTTGAGACTCTAGAGGCATTAGAATCATTCATATTAAAAAGAAAAAAGATTGGGAGTTATAAATTAAGAGTTTTAATAGTTCTAATTGGTGTGTAGGTCTCATATGATGTGATGTTTTGACCTTAGTTTATTTTTTATTTTTTATTTTTCACATCATTAGTGTTCTTTTAAAGCTTATAAATTAAAGGGATGTATCATTTTTGTATTAAAAATTATTTTTTTACTTATATAATATACTAACGCATGCCCGTGCCTGAAGACACGGTGTAAATAATGCTAGAATTAAAATATAGTTGTAATCCCAATACTATTTAAATTTATTTTTTAATTTGATAAATTTACAAATTTATTATAAAATTTTGGAGTTCTCACAAAATTTCTCACGAAAACTCACTTTTGCTTGTATAATATATAGCTAGATAAATAAATATGCCTGACATATAATTTTTACGAAAATACATACAATAATACTTTTATTTATATAATTATGTAAAAATTATATGTATACCTATAATATCATAATACTAGTGTATGCCCGTGCCTAAAGGCACGATGTAAATAATATTTAGATTAAAATGTAATTGTAATTTGTACGTATCATATTAAAATTTGTAGAGTCTGTAACACCTGATAAAAGTTCAAGTCAACATTCCTACCATTAGTTTGTGGCTAACACCTAATACATTGGTGAGTGTCATAGTACCCCGAACCACAAATATCTGATTGAAATAATATAATACACATAACATAAATACCATAACCTCGCAAATAGTAGCCTTTAGAAATTGTTTACAAATTAAGATACGGAAATCAAATATTTTGAAATAATTTTTTAGTCAAGATACGGAAAGCATTGAAAAACTAAATGCATCATATCATGAAGAAGAAATCAACTCTATGCCATAGCAACCCAACAATCAATGGTAAAAAAAATAATTCCTGCAACTCATCTGGTTTGTCAAATTAATATGAAAATCATCAATTACATCAACTATAGAATACAAATTGTTGCTTTACAAAATAGTCAAATTAAAAAGATTTTAAAGTCATCTAATAGCCTTCAAGTATTGCTAGTATCAATACTTGAAAAAAAATGTATAGTAAGAAGAGTAAATTAAATAAGAAAAATTATAAATAGGTGATAACTTCACAAAATATTTAAAAACTCATTGATTTCTAATTTTCTCAATGAAATAAGAAGATGAGTAAAGAGAGCCCATATAACAGTTTGGTGCAAATCTCCATCATCCTATGAAAATAAAAGAGAACATAATTTTATACAAAAAGGGGAAAAAAAAATGTATACAAAGTAGTGACAACTGACATGTCCAAAATAGTGTCAACTTACATGTCCAAAGTAATAAATCAACTTACATGTCCAAAGTCATAACTCAATTGTAAAAGATCAAGTCAGCACTCTTAAATCAAACTTAGCTATACTGGAAATGCAAAAATATAGGGGAATAAAAGGCTTCACAAAAATATTTGAAATGCAACAAAGTTCACATAGGTGGAAAGCTTTACAAAAAGTGAGTCATAGCTATCGTTTTCTTTACAAAATGTATATACTTTATAAAAATATGTGTTTGATAATGTCTTCAAATTTGTTATTTCCCACAATTCTTACGAACGCCTCATCAATTTCCAAAAGGTCTTCATAACAAAACTTCAGGGTAAACAATATTTGTAGTGGAATCTGGCTCATCATTAGGGAGGAGGATACTTATACGATCGAAAGATGTGCATCTGGATAATGCCACGTATAGTTACTAAAAACAGGTATACGCAAATCAACCCCAACAAATTTCACAGATTGTCCTTGAGATTTGTTAATGGTCAAAGCGTATGCCAATCGAATTGGAAATTGACGTCTTGTCATTCGGGAAGGCATTTCTGCACAAGACGGAGTCAATGATATCCTTGGTATAAATGCCAAATTGCCAAACTTCTCTCCAGTTAAGATTCGAGCTTCAATTATGCGAGTGTCGCACCTTGATACCATCAATCTTGTGCCATTACACAGTCCATCTTTCGGTGCAATGTTTCTTAATAACATTATAGGACAACCCACTTTCAACTCTACCTCAAAAGTTGGTAGCCCAGAAGGATCCAATGAATTTAAAAACTCATTAGGATATCTGTTTGTAACGAAAGGATCAATTTCATCATCTTCAGCCATCTTATCTACAGCAAGATACGTATATGTATTCCTTGGAAAAATATTCAACGCAGCAATATTGATAGCACTGACATCATCATTTCGTACAGAAAGAATTGTACGCTCCGTTAAGAATGATGGGGTTGATGTATCTGTCACATCCAATTGTGGATAAACTGCTGAGAGTAATTCCTTTAGATCCTGGCATTTGTGTATTGTTGATGGAATTTTAATGATTTCTTGCGGATTGGTTCCAACCTAATAAATAAAATAAAATAAATTGGATAATGCCACGTATAGTTACTAAAAACAGGTATACGCAAATCAACCCCAACAAATTTCACAGATTGTCCTTGAGATTTGTTAATGGTCAAAGCGTATGCCAATCGAATTGGAAATTGACGTCTTGTCATTCAGAAAGGCATTTCTGCAGAAGACGGAGTCAATGATATCCTTGGTATAAATGCCAAATTGCCAAACTTCTCTCCAGTTAAGATTCGAGCTTCAATTATGCGAGTGTCGCACCTTGATACCATCAATCTTGTGCCATTACACAGTCCATCTTTCGGTGCAATGTTTCTTAATAACATTATAGGACAACCCACTTTCAACTCTACCTTAAAAGCTGGTAGCCCAGGAGGATCCAATGAATTTAAAAACTCATTAGGATATCTGTTTGTAATGGAAGGATCAATTTCATCATCTTCAGTCATCTTATCTGCAGTAAGATACGTATATGTATTCCCTGGAAAAATATTCAACGCAGCAATATTGATAGCACTGACATCATCATTTCGTGCAAAAAGAATTGTACGTTCCGTTAAGAATGATGAGGTTGATGTATCTGCCACATCCAATTGTGGATAAACTGTTGAGAGTAATTCCTTTAGATCCTGGCATCTGTATATTGTTGATGGAATTTTAATGATTTCTTGCGGATTGGTTCCAACTAATAAATAAAATAAAATAAATTAAAAAAAAATGGTGTAATCAAAGTATCCTTAAATGGTATAATCAAAGTTCGAATGAGTATTACCTCTGTCAAGAATTTTGCAAAAATAGGATTTCCAAGGTTTGCATGATTCCAGTGCATATTCAAATCTAAAGATAAAACATGTAGATCATTCCACAAAACAGAGTATCTTAATGATGCATTCACAATTTGCTCATGAACTCCTTTGGTTATAACTGGTAAGATTTGTCGAAAGTCTCCACCAAGAACAGCAGTGATACCCCCAAATGGCTTTTCACAATCACAAATATCTCGAAGTGTGCGATCAACCGCCTCAACACAATGTCTATGTTGCATAGGAACTTCATCCCAAATTATGAGTTTTGTTTCTCTAAACAATTCAGCCTGTAATGATTGCTTGCTAAACCCACAAACTGAATTTTCCAAGACATCCAATGGAATGGAAAATGTTGAATGTGTAGTGTGACCTCCTACTAATAGCAATGATGCAATTCCAGATGAAGCCACGGTAATAACAATATGGCCAAGGCTACTGTAGACACCCCATTTTTGACCGTCCTCAAGACTTGGACGTCATCATTTGAACACTTGATGATCATCCATGTTCGTGTTTGTCTTGAGTTCTTGGAAGTCTCGACTGCGCGCCTTGCCTTAAGATCTCTCAACTTAACTGTTTTGTGCTTGGTTGTGGACCAAGGACTTGTGGTTTGTGCACCTAAGGGTAGGAAGTGGCCTGTTAGCCATCCCCTCAACCCACCGGCCATGGCCTGAGGCCACCGGCCTTGTTTTCTTGCCACCGACCAAATATATTGGTCGATCGGCACAGTATTTGGTCGGCCGGCCATTGTTTTGGTCGATCGGCCACATTTTCTGGCCGAGGCCTTTTCTTTGCCTTTTTCAAGCATTGTGCATGCCAGCTGTGCTAGCTGGTGAGCACAGACTCTGCCCTCCATACACGTGTATGGAGGGATTTCATCTTTACACTTAGCTTCTCTAAGAAGCTTAGAAGTTGATTTTCTATAAGAGAAGGGCCTCTCCTCCCTTTCCAGAGGTTGAACAATCTGAAAGAGAAGATATATCACTCTCTCTCTATATCTCCCTCTCTCTCTATATTTGTGTCTGTAATAGTGTTCTAAAGGGTGTTTTTGTTCATGTTTTTGCACTAAGGCACCTAGTGTTACACTATCCTTTAGTTACTGAGGTGCTAAGGAGTTGATTTCAGAGTTTTTGAGTTGGTTTTGATCAGAAGGAGGTGCTGGAGTTGGTGTTCTTGAAGTGTTCTTCAAGGATGAGAAACTACTCTTTTATTCTTCATTTTTGCTTAAGCTTTTAGCAATACTTGCATACTGTTTTAAGCTTAGTGTCCAAATGAAAAAAGTTATGTTTTTACATGCTTTTGATCTTTGTTTAAGATCACTTTTGTGTTGGGGGTTGTCTACCCCCCCTAGGCCTTGTTTGGCCTCTTTTTGTGCCTCTTCCTTTTGGCTTTGGAACCTTTCTTGTTTCAACCTTCTTACCACTGAAATCTAGAGGATTTTCAGTGGTGGAGAAGTGGTTTTGAGATCTTGAATAGGGGAGGGACACCCCTTTCTCCTTATGTCTCATTTGCTTGCCTTAAGGGCTCATAATGGTAGCATATTTACTTAGTTTGTTTTAACTGCATTTTAGCAAGTATTTGGTGTTGTTTGGTCATGTTGTACCTCTGTTTCATGTTGGTTTGATGGCCTCATGCATACACCATACACTTGTCTTGCAATCCTCTCATTTGCCATAACATGTATCTTGCATTTGGACTATCATGCTTGCATATTTTGACTCGACCCAAAGGAACTTTTAGTCATATTTCAGCATGTTAAAGCTCTGTTTGGTGTCGTTTTGATCATATATGTCATGTTTTGTATAGCCTTAGTTCATCCTAGCTTGTTAGCTTTGAAGGCCTAAGTCGCATGATTACATTACTTGGCTCATTTTTTATGATTTGACATCATTTCACATGAGATTTCAGTCCATATAATGTGGCCATGCATCCACATTCATAACTTTTTTCATGCATTAGAAGGTTTGTGTTTTATGCTTCAAGATTGGACCATTGTGCATGCCTCTATGCTTAGACCATTTAGATACCATCTAAGTGGGTTTTTGAGTTTGTTTCAACATGCCATAACTTTGTTTTCCATTGCTTAAATCATGCCATGTTTGGTTGTGTTAGGCGTAGTATAACACCTCTTTGATAGCGCTGCATGCCCCGTTGTTTTGGCATTGTGTTCTAGCTTGTTTTGGCTAGCTTTGAGCTCATTTTTGGTCTTGCTTGGACCTATCCCGGGACTGTTTTAGGTCCCCTTGGCCCTTTGGGGCTTGCTGCACATAGCCATGGCTTGAGCCCCTTGGCTAGTCTCAAGTTTTAGGCTCCTTTGTATGCTTTACTTGCATGGCTTGGTTGATTTGGCATCATCCCTTGCATATTTTCAGAGCTTATCATGCTTGTTACTTGTCCATATTTGTCTCTTTTAAATGTGCTTAAGAGTCGCCCTTTTTTGTGCCTAAGTGTTGGACCTTTACATGCCCATGTTTGGGTGTGTTTTGTCTATCATTTCTTGGCATTTTAGCCACTGTTTTGGCACGGCTGAGGTCTGCCCATTTCAGTTTAAGTCCATTGAGCATGTTTACTTTCATGATATTTGCATGCTTGTATTGTATCATGTTTGCATGTTTGGTATATCGTATGATATTTAGCTAATTGCATTACATAGCATTGTTGTATATTTGGCGTGCCCATGTTACATTAGCTTGAATTGCATACTTAGGTTGCATTGCATTTGGCATACTTGCTACCTTAGTCTTGTGTGCATACTTGAGTCCTATTGCATTTGGCATGCTTAGGTTGCATAGCATTGCTTTTTCATATTGCATTACATTTGGCATACATGCATTGCATTGTGTTTGGTTTGGGGTGTCAAACCAAACACGAGGAATGAGAGATGTTCGTACTTGAAGTGACGAAACGTACCTCAATCCTCGGTCGCCGACGCTCTTGATCAAACTTGATAGAGTTCTAGGCATTCATGTGTTTTGTTGCATTTATTCCACATTGATTTGCACACTTGGCACCTTTGGCCATCATGCATTGAAATGCGTGATTGGTGGTCCGAGGGTCGAGAGCCATACTGTCTTAAGTTCGAGGGTTGAGAGCCATACTCCCTTGAGTTCATAGTATGATACTGTCTGTCCTCTGCTGCAGCAAAAACAACATTCTGCAGGAAGGGATGGTCGGTCGGCCATCTTTAGTGCCGGCCGGCTAACTTAACCTGGCCGAGAGCTCCACTTTTGGTCGATGATCATTTTCCCATGGCCGGTGACTCCATCGTTTGGTCGGTGACCTCCCACAGTGCTCAGGGAGTGTTTCAAAAGTATCCTAAGGATTTTCACAATTTTCAGAGATGCAAAACAGTGCAAGCAGAGGCAACATGCGGCATGGCAACGGGTTTTCAAGCGAGGCAATCGAACATGCATCAGTCAATCATTTTGAGGCGGAGCTCCGGCGGCCTCTTTAGTTTCGTACTTAGATTGTTTTGTAATTAATTTGTTAATTAATTAAGAGTTTGTAATAATTAATTAGCTAGGATAGTTGATTAATCATTTGGGTTTATATTATTTATTCGGACCCTCCGTCGAGAGGGCGAACTTTGTAATAAGTGTCCGTGCATGTGTGAATGTATTCTAACCCCACGTCTTTCTCCCTTTTACATACCTGCTTTTGATGGTTAGTTTTAGGTCATGTTTCAATTAGCATACTTACGTTAGCATGTTTGCATACATTCATTCGTGTTGCACGCACCAGGCTCGGCGTATCATACTAATTGCATAGTATTTCAATTCTAACTTGAATACGTGTATCAGGTTGTCGCATTTCACATGCCATTCTTAGATTAGCCGAGCCTATTCTAGTTGCATTTTGCATGTGTTGCATTAGCCATCTTAACATGAACTAGGATCATGCATGATTTCTAACTAGTTTCTTGTTTTGGCTCGGAGTACTAGGTAAGCTTTTATGCTTTAGCATCTTGCATGAGTATAAGTGTTGCCATGTTAGCATGCTTGCCATGAGGCTAATTGCTTATGTGTGGATTACTTGAATTGGGACAATTCATTGAAATCCGCATTTTAGCCTACTTACGAGTAGCAAACTTCAAATCATTTCCAAACAAACAGATATGTGATGCTTTGTTCCAAATTAGGCGATCTAGTCTATACTTGTGTGTTGTGTGCATCACATAGTAAATTCTAGCTAATAAACTGGAATAAGAACGCATATGTTTTCAAAAACAAAATATCATGTTTAGTACAGGCCGATCTTTGATCGGGCGAGCGGGGGTGCTCATAGATGACCTTCCCCTATCGTACCCAAGTTCCCGTGCCGAGGCAACTTTGGTGATGACGGACATGTGGCCTTAGGCATGAGTCAAGGTTTCTTAAATTCCCTCTAAAATAAAATATTTAGGTGGCGACTCTGTATCTGGCAAAGCAGTCCATGTTTGGCACTTCTTTCTTAAAAATCAGTTTTCCAAAACGATTTGCCGGATTTGGACTCTTTGGTGATTTATCGGTCTCGCATTGCACTTTGCGGGATTAGATTCAGAACCGTGACATTCTGAGTTCGAACTGTAGCATGGGGCCCTCGGGGCGCGTCTATAGCTGCGACATTTTAATGCAATGGTATTGTACAAAAATGTTTTCCCCGTTCTGGCACCGCCATTCAAAAAGAAAATAGTCCCTTTACTTTCAAAGACTGAAGAAGTGATTGCGTTATAAGCAGTTCGTTGTCCGTTATTGAGGCGATCAATAGTAATTTGCACATCTGTCTATTGTGCCTTATTATGTAGTTGTTGATGTTCGAATATCAATCGGTTACCAACTGTTGCACTCCAATTTGCTGTAGGTTGTGGCATGGGCGGGAAGTCAATTAAACTCTTTCTTGATTCTTGAAGCATTTGATTCAAAAGATACAAACCATAATCTTCAATTTGAGCCTCAGTTAGGTTAGAAATGACAAATAATGTACGAAGCTTATGTGCAAGATCATCATAGATAGGCATTGAAAATTGATTCCATAACGCATGTGGTTGTAGTGGAAAACATTGGGTCAGAATAGTACAAAACAATCTCCTCAATTGATATCCGATTTTCATAACTGCAGCCTCTTTCAGCCATTGTATCCATTCTTTATCATCTTCTAAGAGTCCTCTTGCAACACATGCTGATTTAAACGTTTCATACAAAACATTGTTAACTGTACGTAAACATTGAAACGATCTTGGCCCTTTGACAATAGTTAACAACAAACGCAGATAAAATCTTTCACCACAGTTAGGGCTAGCAAAGTATATTCTACTAATTGCATATCCATGTTCTCTTGGTTTCCATCTATGTTCTGACTTGAGCCAAACAAAATGTTGCAGAAATTCTCGGTAAGTGAATTGGCATTCATTTTCATTGGAAGCACAATAATAAAAAAAACCAGTAAGAGTCGATTTTTGTTGCGCAGCTCTAGAAAGAATCATTTCCAATGAGTCATTAGGATTGAAAAGAACACGATGCATTCCAGGTAGATGAAGTGCCAAACGAACAACTGTTGGCATCTCTGCATGCAAATGATGACCGAATATTCGCCAAGCAGCTTCTGGTGGTCCAATACACCTCGCATCAAGATATTGTTGGATCTTATTAATCAATCCCAAAACCATTGTTGTGCGATCATAACCCTTGTAAATATACTTATGTATATACTTAACACATCTCATTCCAGCACAAACTTCTACATTTATATGACAATTGAACCGTTTAGAAAGATATGCATTGTGTGGTACCACATCCCTGTTATGAACTCCCTGTCCTCTCACAGTATATACTTGACCACTATTGCGACGACGATAGATTGGATATCCATCTTGGTCCATAGTTGTTGATTCTGCAAAGGCTCCAGGGTATTTCTTAGTACATCTACCATTTTCCATACATGGTGCTTGGAGATTTCGAGCACCACATGGTCCATGTACCATGCAACACTTGACAGTTTCAAAAAGTGTAGGATCATCTTTTGGATCTGGAAATTCTGCACAAATTAATTTGTTTACTTGAGCACATGTTCGAATTTTGTCTGGACCTTTAAGAAAGAGAAGCGCATGCATATGTGGTAGGCCTCGTTTTTGGAATTCAATTGTAAAAACACGTGCAACTTTATTACTGAACACTTTGTTTGTCTCTATCTCCTTCATCAAACACTTTCTTTTTAACTCAAAAACACGGGCAATCAAATCCGGACGATCAGCAGCTCTAGAAAGAATCATTTCCAATGAGTCATTAGGATTGAAAAGAACACGATGCATTCCAGGTAGATGAAGTGCCAAGCGAACAACTGTTGGCATCTCTGCATGCAAATGATGACCGAATATTCGCCAAGCAGCTTCTGGTGGTCCAATATACCTCGCATCAAGATATTGTTGGGTCTCATTAATCAATCCCAAAACCATTGTTGTGCGATCATAACCTTTGTAAATATACTTATGTATATACTTAACACATCTCACTCCAGCACAAACTTCTACATTTATATGACAATTGAACCGTTTAGAAAGATATCCATTGTATGGTACCACATCCCTATTATCAACTTCCTGTCCTCTCACAGTATATACTTGACCACTATTGCGACGACGATAGATTGGATATCCATCTTGGTCCATAGTTGTTGATTTTGCAAAGGCTCGAGGGTATTTCTTAGTACATATACCATTTTCCATACATGGTGCTTGGAGATTTCGAGCACCACATGGTCCATGTACCATGCAACACTTGACAGTTTCAAAAAGTGTAGGATCATCTTTTGGATCTGGAAATTCTGCACAAATTAATTTGTCTACTTGAGCACATGTTCGAATTTTGTCTGAACCTTTAAGAAAGAGAAGCGCATGCATATGTGGTAGGGCTCGTTTTTGGAATTAAATTGTAAAAACATGTGCAACTTTATTACCGAACACTTTGTTTGTCTCTATCTCCTTCATCAAACACTTTCTTTTTAGCTCAAAAACACAGGCAATCAAATTCGGATGATCAATAGCTTTTTGGTGTGGTAATAATGCTGAAGTAATTTCTGGCCAATTGGGATTTGCAATCATGGTGAGAAAAATATCTGGGTGCTGGTTGTATCGCGTGATAGCCATTGAATCTTGAAAGATTTCAAACATATGTCTAGGACTACCAGTAAATGAAGATGGCAAAATAAACCTTTGACCAATTTGATTAGGTTGCAAGTCATCTGGATCAATATCGCTTAAATCTTGGTAAAGTTCAGCCCAAATTTTTTTTTGATTAAGCTTGTAGTACATCAACCGATTTTGCTTAGTTGTAGCCCAAGCATCTACCAAAAACTCTTGGAATAGTTTTCCACCTCTCAAAATTGTTGAATACTCTGTAGGTCGCTCAAACAAACGATAACTATAAAAATCCATTTGAGTAAGTCAATCAGTTGAATGCCGATCATGTTTAACGTCCCACAATTTCAACTCAGGTTTCCATCCGAGCTCACCATACGGGAATAATAAAACATAATGCAATGGAAAATACGCTGGGTGACATTCATTAATTTGCATCAGTTCTTTATTTCCCTGTAGATGTAAAACAACATCTCTCATTCCAGTAACCTCGGTTCCATCACCTGGTATTACAATTGCAATCTCATCAACAGTTGGTGGGTTATGCCATCGTCGGTCTGTTGCTGAACTGTAGTGAAGATGAGCAGGTAGATTTTGTCCAGTGAAGGCTAATTGATTCAAATTGCACGAGCCTGGCGAAATTTGTCTACAAATGCATTAACTTGCATCAAACTATCTTGAATAGTTTTGAGAACATCCCTTCGTAAGTGAGGATTTCTACGATTTCGAACTTCTAAAGCTGAATCAAGATCATAAATGTACAACTGAGCATAAGTCGCATCCTGACCTGGCTGTGGTAGAAGTGATCTTGTTCGATGTCGCAATTCCCCATGGATAATAAATGGTTTAGGGCCGCTTCCTCTTAGTACTCTTGGATCCAATGTAGCATCAAGACTTGTAAAAGCATTGGCTGCATTGTATACTCGAGTATAACGTCGAAACGATCTTGCTTGATCATCATCCCCATCATATAATGTTTGAAGCAGTGGAGGGGGTGTCATAAGCAGAGGTAGCCTAGTCTTTCCTTTTGAACAGCAAGTTCCAAATAGGGGACGCTTTCGAGATGATTGTGCTAATTTTTCGTCCATCCAATGTAAGGTTGAACAGTAAGGACATAATACATCCATCTTGCCAAGAGAATGACGACATGAATTCATGTGTGATTGAGTATTAATCGCAGTACTTATAGTTATATCTTCTAATTCATCATCTGTACATAGATCCTCTTGAAGAAATGTGACTGTAGAATTAGGCCTAAAAATATTTGTTGTGCATAAATTAAAATTTATACACATGTAAAAGTAAGAGTATTATTTAAAGAATTAAACATGTTTTACCAATTCCGAGCTAAAGATGTACTTTCCATAGAGAACGAACATGTGGATGCATGTGTAACCATTGTTCGTTTTTGTGCCAACGAAGTATCCGCAAGTGTCTTTGTACCCTATTCTAGGCAAGCATGACTGCGACGACTCGGTGTTAATGAAGGAAAGTCTTTAACATATGCTCCTAAGCTCTCTCGTTCTTGTCGCAAGTGTTGTCCCGATTGATATGCAGAGCATGCGTTTTCATTTCTTTCACGTTCTCGTCGTGCACGTTAAACTAATACAGTTCTTGATATAACATAACCATTGGGTCCCTAAAATATGAATATTAAATCATTGGATGCTTAAAATGCAAATATTATCAAGTACCATTTTCCACTGTCTAAAGAAAATGCCAAGAATTTAGAGAAAATGTATTATACTCTTGCCCATGACTACCCATAGTTTTACAATAATAATAATAAATTGTGTGGTTTTGCTATACTAATGAACAAATGTTTGACCAACTTATGAGAATAATAAACGTTCGACCAGCAGATTGTGTGGTTTTGTAACGGTAATGAACAAATGTTCGATCAGCAGATGAGCTTCATAAAGTATCCTCATTTTCTTGTAGGGCCCATGCACTTACAGGAGACACTATATATTCCTTTCTCACTATATATTCCTTCATAAAGTATATTATATATATATTTCTTTCTTCCTAAGAATATACAGGAGACACTAAAAAATGTGCATAGTTTCAAAAATAAAATACAATTATGGCTAAATAAATACAATATATGAAGATATAAAAATAAAAACTAAAAAAATTCTACAAAAATCAATAACAACCATACCGCTAAACATGCATTTTCCTTTCGTTTGCCCTTGCAATCAGTCACCTTTGTCATTTATAATCTATATAATAAATTGTGTGGTTTTGTTATACAAACAAACAAATGTTCGGCCAACTTATGAACTTCATAAAGTATCCCCATTCACATAGCTGGAAAAAAAAAATTATTGCCCATTTTCTCCCTCCTCTCTTTATCTCAAAATTTTCGCCCACTTACATTGAAAAGTGGTGCAGATTTACACAAATATACAGGAAACACTTAAAAAAGTGCACAGTTTAAAAGATAAAAATACAATTATGGCATGCATTTTCAAAAACACTCTACAATTATGGCTTAAAATAAACAATTGTTTATTGCTTAAAATAAACAATTCGATATACAATTATGGCTTAAAATACAAACATACGAAAACTAACAATTTAAAAAAAAAAAAACACTTTACAAAAACCATTAAGAACTATACCGCTGGACATGCATTTTCCTTTCCCTTGCCCTTGGAAGCATAAGACACCTTTTCTTTTCCTTTCAACATTGCCTTTGCATTTTCCTTTTCCATTGCCTTTAAAAAATAACCAAAGTCTAAGAAATAACCAAAGTATAAGAAATAAAAATAAATAAAAAAAATGATAAGAAAGTGATTTTTGGGCTGACATTAGAAATATGAACAACATTGAAATCATGCTCATCACGAATCACTACACCGACATTTTTTTGTTGAAGAAACTGAACCTATACATACAAAAACAAATAAGTAGCTGATATGTACACAAAATGAAATTTTATAAGACGATGAGTAAAGGGAACGAATATTACAGTTCGTTGTAAGTCTCCATCTAGCTGTAAAAAATGAGGAAATTTTTTTTTTTATAATCAGAACCTATAGAACAAAAGTTTTTTTAAAATCTATGTACCAGCTTTTTAAAAAAAGACAACTTACATTATCCATAATGTTAGAGGTCGTTCCAGCTTAATATTGCCAAAACCTGTAATACAAAAGTTGACTTCAGTAAATACATATTAATCCAGTAATACATAATACAAAAGTTAACCTGTAAAGGTTTTGGAAAAGATAACTTATGTAAATACAAAAGTTATTTTAATTCACCAAGTGAAACCAAACGAAGCAATCAATAGATACTTAAATGGAATCAAACCTATCGATGATTTAAGCTTTGTTGAATTTAATTGAACTAAAAGAGGTTTAAATGGAACTGCAAAATTTATAAAGTTAATTCATATGACAAACTAATAAAAAATCATCAATCATTTTGAAATCCACAGTTAATTCATATGACAAAATATCTCATTCAAGGAATTAATAAAAAATCACACTGGAAAAAAAAAATCACACATATGACAAACTAATAACCCAACAATCATTTTCCGCCACCAAAATGAGTTGTGTTTCCAAGAATACAGCTCATATGCTTGTCTAGAGAAGTGAAGATACAGCTCATATGCTTATCTTTGTGAAGTGTAGATAAGCTCATATGCTTATCTTTGTGAAGTGTAGATATAGCTCATATGCTTGTCTAGTGAAGTGTAGATACAGCTCATATGCTTGTCTAGTGAAGTGTGGATACAGCTAATATGCTTGTCTGTTGATGTGTGATATGCTTATCTATCGGAATGTTGATATAGCTCACATGCTTATCTGTTGTAGTAGTGATATAGCTCATATGCTTATCTATTGAAAAGTTTGTTTGATTTGATATAGCACTAAAATGTATATCATCATCGTTTGTGAAGTATGGAAGTAGTTTATGTGTTATTGATACAACACCAAAATGTGTATCCACCGTGAATTTTGAAAATGTTCTAGTGATGAACTATAATCTCATCAAAATGTTTTGGCCAGAGTACTGAGCCCTGTTTTGTTTTCAAACTCAAAGTTGAATAAGAAATGAAAATTGAATTGTATCATAGACTTAGTTGTCATGGAATTGAAATAAGATATAAATGGAGGTATAAGTATTGGCCATCTTTCAGTTGCTAATCTTTTAGGCATTGTTTATAATTGGTTTAGTATATCTCTGCTGGGCTGTGGCTCACCCTATATGGGAATATCATTTTCAGGTACAGGTAGCATGCCGCCTCTACGAACATAACTTGGGAGGCTAGGGGCAAGACATACTTTTGTTGCCTTATTTTTTTTTTTTCTTTTGATGTATTACATGTAATTTCAAGCCAAGGGCTTAATGTGTAACCGAGTTAATACTCTCTTTTGTAACCAAGTGATAACTTGGAAAGCTGTAAGCCCGCAGGGCATTTACTTTTGTTGTTAACGTGTAATACTTTTGTAATGAAGTACTCTGATTATTTGAGGGAATGTGGATCTTTTGTATATAAATGTATGTTTATATTGATGGGTTTAATATTATTATTTTGAGGGCGTGACACCCATTCACATAGCTGGAAAAAAAAAATTATTGCCCATTTTCTCCCTCCTCTCTTTATCTCAAAATTTTCGCCCACTTACATTGAAAAGTGGTGCAGATTTACACAAATATACAGGAAACACTTAAAAAAGTGCACAGTTTAAAAGATAAAAATACAATTATGGCATACATTTTCAAAAACACTCTACAATTATGGCTTAAAATAAACAATTCGATATACAATTATGGCTTAAAATACAAACATACGAAAACTAACAATTTAAAAAAAAAAAAAAACTTTACAAAAACCATTAAGAACTATACCGCTGGACATGCATTTTCCTTTCCCTTGCCCTTGGAAGCATAAGACACCTTTTCTTTTCCTTTCGACATTGCCTTTGCATTTTCCTTTTCCATTGCCTATAAAAAATAACCAAAGTCTAAGAAATAACCAAGGTATAATAAATAAAAATAAATAAAAAATGATAAGAAAGTGATTTTTGGGCTGACATTAGAAATATGAACAACATTGAAATCATGCTCATCACGAATCACTACACCGACATTTTTTTGTTGAAGAAACTGAACCTATACATACAAAAACAAATACGTAGCTGATATGTACACAAAATGAAATTTTATAAGACGATGAGTAAAGGGAACGAATATTACAGTTCGTTGTAAGTCTCCATCTAGTTGTAAAAAATGAGGAAATTTTTTTTTTATAATCAGAACCTATAATACAAAAGTTTTTTTAAAATCTATGTACTAGTTTTTTAAAAAAAGACAACTTACATTATCCATAATGTTAGAAGTCGTTCCAGCTTAGTATTGCCAAAACCTGTAATACAAAAGTTGATTTCAGTAAATATATATTAATCCAGTAATACATAATACAAAAGTTAACCTGTAAAGGTTTTGGAAAACATAACTTATGTAAATACAAAAGTTATTTTAATTCACCAAGTGAAACCAAACGAAGCAATCAATAGATACTTAAATGGAATCAAACCTATCGATGATTTAAGCTTTGTTGAATTTAATTGAACTAAAAGAGGTTTAAATGGAACTGCAAAATTTATAAAGTTAATTCATATGACAAACTAATAAAAAATCATCAATCATTTTGAAATCCACAGTTAATTCATATGATAAAATATCTCATTCAAGGAATTAATAAAAAATCACACTGGAAAAAAAAAATCACACATATGACAAACTAATAACCCAACAATCATTTTCCGCCACCAAAATGAGTTGTGTTTCCAAGAATGTATTTATTGAAATTAACAAATAACAAAAGATTTGCAATAAAGCCACAGTTTGAAAATAATAATTTAACTCCAAACATTTTCAGGTATTGGTAACACAATCTGAATCCAAACAACATCAAAAGAAAGTAGTAATGAATCTTACTATTTTTCTTACAAATTAATAGATATTAAAATTGTCCAAGATGCCACATCATCCCAACTTGGCAAAGGGTGAAAATGAGTAGAAACATGTGTAGTAGTAAAGTCAACAAATATATATTGTTGCACTTGAAGTGGATGAACTCAATCTCACAATTTCAGAAGCTATGAAATTATCCTCTGTAATTTAATAAAGTCAAACTCAACCACCCCATTCTCACAATTTCAGAAGCCATGAAATTATCCTCTATTTTTTTCAATAATCAAACACCCAAAAAATTCAAAAACCAGCAAAGTAAGGACCAAAAAAAGTCAAAAAACCGGCATATTTGACTATCAAAGCCTATTGAAAGTTTATTTAGCAAAGTTGAGAGCTCCATCCACTCAACAACAAGTTATTTAGCAAAGTTGAGAGCTCCATCCACTCAACAACAAGTTATTTAGCAAAGTTGAGAGCTCCATCCACTCAACAACAAGTTATTTAGCAAAGTTGAGAGCTCCATCCACTCAACAACAAGTTATTTAGCAAAGTTGAGAGCTCCATCCACTCAACAACAAGTTATTTAGCAAAGTTGAGAGCTCCATCCACTCAACAACAAGTTATTTAGCAAAGTTGAGAGCTCCATCCACTCAACAACAAGTTATTTAGCAAAGTTGAGAGCTCCATCCACTCAACAACAAGTTATTTAGCAAAGTTGAGAGCTCCATCCACTCAACAACAAGTTATTTAGCAAAGTTGAGAGCTCCATCCACTCAACAACAAGTTATTTAGCAAAGTTGAGAGCTCCATCCACTCAACAACAAGTTATTTAGCAAAGTTGAGAGCTCCATCCACTCAACAACTAGTTATAGACAGTAGAGGATAACTTGGAACTTAAAATTATATTTGAAACACATTATCATAAAATTAAATCCCACTATATCTCAACACATTTAGACTGTAAATCTATATAAATATAACAAATGGCTGGAAATTTTAGAGGTTGATGCAGCTTAGTATTGTCAAAACCTGTAATACAAAAGTTGATTTCAGTAAATATATATTAATCCAGTAATACAAAGATTAATTTAACTCCTATCTATATTGGTTAAATTTGAAACATTAGATAAAAAGTCAAAAACTAATACAAAAAATAAACCCATTCAACACAAAAAACATGCCCTAAGAGGTAAAGGAAGGTATGTTTATTTTCTTCTTCCAATTTTTCATTTTGTTTATTAAAAAAAACAAAAAACGCCCTCTGTTTGGTTTCCTAGATAGCAGAAACCCACTTCAATTTGTTAATTAATTGGCACAGGTTTTGTTAGACATGGCTTTCTTAGACATGGCTTCTCAATATATATATATATACATACTGGAATCATACATAAAGAAGGGGTTTGGGATTTGGAATCATATATATAGATATATATACATACATATTGGAATCATATGTATAGATATATATATACATCCATAATCATATATAAAAATAAAAATAAAAGATTAATTTACCTTGTTTCGATATGAAAGGTCTTAAAGAAGTCCACAACGCTTCAGACTCAATGCTTCAAACCTGTTGTCAATATTATTGAAACAAAAGATTATTGAAGATTATTAAAGATATCCAAAAATTAAAGATATCCAATTCATTAATGTTTTGAAAGATTATTGAAACAAAAGATATCCAAAGATACGAATATAAAATCAAAGTCCAGGTTTCCATTTTGCCAATTGTTAGCTACTAATTAATGCTTGGTTGGTTGTGTATGAATGACATTTAATAAATCGTAGAGGTTGTTTGTAAATCAAATTTGAATGTTATCAAAAACGGGTAATACCTTTGATTAATATTAGGTTAATAAAATGAATAACAGGTTAATAAAATAGTACCACTATTACTACTAATCAAACATGCCCTGAGTGTCATTCAAGGAGAAAAGAAAAAAACAAAAAAAAAGATTAATTTAACTCCTATCTATTTTGGTTAAATTTGTTTGTGAATAGGAAATTAGCTAAAAAGCCAAAAACTAACACATAAAATCAACCCATTCTCTCTATTTAAAAAGCCACAAAAAATAAAATAAAATTGTAGACTTGTATCACATACATACATACATATACATACATAAAATGCAATTATAGACTTGTATCCAAAGATAGAAATATAAATACTAAAGAAAAATCAAAACTCAGTTTTCCATTTTCTCCATTATTTGTAAATCAAATTCAAATGTTATCAAAATGCTATACAACCTAATAAATTCGAATGTTATCAAAATGCTATACAAACTAATAAATAGGTGTTTTATGCTCGTGCCTGAATGCACTATCTAATAAAATTCTTATATTACAATCTATGTGTTGCAAAAATGTTAACGACCATAAAAATGTTTTATGAAAAATGTCTCAAAGTTGTGATCAAACAACCAAAAATGTTTAGGATCAATCAAGCAACCAACAAAGGGTAGATGATTTTTCGTAAAACTTTTAAGAGAAATTATGTATTATGTAGCATACCAAACAAATATAGCCCTAAATAGTATATCAAAAAAATCATAGGAAGACCACTATATCAAAAGTTACATTGATCACAAATTGTATTATACTACCATCACAGATGAAACAAAAATAACTTTTTAGTAATCACTATTAAACTAAAAATAAAACAATCAAATTTAGATGAGTAAACCAAACTAAACCAAACCAAACCTTAAGTCCCATCTGTCACGCCCTCAAAATAAACCCATTATATATATATACAATTGACATGCATTATTTAAAGAAAACAATTTATTAATTCATTCATCAGAGTATTACTAAATAAAAGCATTACATGTAACATCGAATAAAATGCCCTGCAGGCTTACATCTTTCCAAGCCAACACTTGGATACAAAAAGATGAGTTCTAACTCAATACAAGAAAAGCCCTAGGCTTGGATGTTTACATGTACTTAATAAATAAAGACAATTAACTAAAGATAGTCTTCCAAATCCAAGTCCCTTCCAAGCTAAGTCCTTGGAGGTAGCTTATCACCTGAACCTGAAAATGATGTTCCCATATAGGGTGAGCCACAGCCCAGTAGAAATATACTAAACCACATATAAGCGATGAATAAAGCAATAGCGTTTAACAGATGGTTAACCAAGATAATCAATTACTCCATTTTACAGTCTCATGACACTATTGTCTAAGACACGTTTTACTTTCCAATTTTATCAGCATGGCTCAGAACCTGGCCAAACTTACAACAGTGAATTATTCAGTTATTCCTAATCCACATGCAATGTCTACAACAATCACGACTATCCTCCACCGATAGCCCAAAACAGTTATTTCTAGACTTGAAAAATAAATATACCAACAATACAATAGGCGAGTGATTTAAATTATCCAACTACACCATTTAATCAATAAATTCCCCAATTTCATGAATTTAACCAAATTCCCCAATTCCCTTAAATTAATTATACAAATTAATTAATTATTACAACTAGGGGTTTTCCCAAAAATTACCAAAGTACCCCCAACATATCAAAATACGAAAACTTAGAACAGAACCTATAAAATGGAGTAGGAAATCCCTACCTCGAAGAAATAGCCCCAAAAGAGAAGATGGAGATGAAAGCCCAAACTCCAAAGTGCTCCAAACTACCAACAATTCAGATTAAATGGAAGCCCTCGACCCACTCTACCTTTTTAATAAAGGATCTAAGGTAGAAACTCACTCTAAGTAGATCAATCGTAAGAGAGAAGGTGTGTAGAGGGAGAGAGAACTCGTACCTAGGGTTTTGGGATCTAAAAGGAAATGAAAAACTGATCTGAAACACGTTGCTGCCTATTTAAACCTGACAGGCTCGCTCGAGCGAAGACTTGGTTGCTCGAGCGACCAGACACAGAAAAACTATGCTCGAGCCAAGAAAACCTTGCTCGAGCCAACAACCCAAAAGCTCGCTCGAGCGAAAGAAAACTCGATCGAGCGAAGAACTCACCCTCAGGTCTATAACCAGACTCATGCTCGAGCGAAGGAACTATTGCTCGAGCGAAGAACGAACTAACTCGCTCGAGCGAAGAAAAGCTCGCTCGAGCCAAGAATGCAAAGCTACAGGTCCAAACCAGACGCAAGCTCTCGCTCGAGCTACCAAACCCCGGCTCGAGCGAAGAACCAAAACAACATCTCGCTCGAGCGACAAACTCCTCGCTCGAGCGAAGATCCAAAATTCTGGACAGCAGCACTTGGTTTCTAAACCCAACCAACCTGAAACAAACCTGCCCAACACTTCCTATAAGTCCAAATGAGCAAATAAGGGA